TATATATATATATATATATATATATATATCTATATATGTATATATACAGTAACTCTATTTACACACATGTGAACATAAACCTATAAACAATGGCATGAATTGTAAGTGGTGGTAATAGTGCAAACAGAGGTCGTAGTGCAGTGTGAATTATTAATTGTTCATGAGAGTGACGGCCAGTGGAAAGAAGCTGTTCCTGTGTCTGGTGGTTTTGGCGTACAGAGGTCTGTAGCGCCCTCTAGAGGGGAGGAGTTGGAACAGCTTGTGTCCAGGGTGTGAAGGGTCTGCAGTGATCTTTCAGCCCGTTTCCTGACTCTGGAGGTGTACAAGTCCAGGATGGAGGGCAGGCTGGAACCAATGATCCTCTCTGCAGACCTGACAATCTGTTGCAGTCTGTTCCTGTCCTGTTTGGTCAGCAGGATCAGCAGCTCCTGAGGCAGGTTGAACTTCCTGAGCTGGAGCAGGAAGTACAACCTCTGCTGGGCCTTTTTCCTGATGGTGTTGATGTTGGGGGCCCACTTCAGGTCCTGGGAGATTGTGGATCCCAGAAACTTGAAGGTCTCCACAGCGGACACAGTGTTGTTGAGTATGGTGAGGGGGGGCAGTGTTGGGGGGCTCCTCCTCAAGTCCACTGTCATCTCCACAGTGTTGAGCCTGTTCAGCTCCAGGTTGTTCTGATCACACCAGAGGACCAGCTGTTCAACCTCCCGTCTGTACGCAGACTCATCACCGTCCCTGATGAGGCCGATGACCGTTGTGTCGTCTAAGAACTTCAGGAGTTTAACAGACGGGTCCTCTGAGGTGCAGTCGTTGGTGTAGAGGGAGAAGAGCAGTGGGGAGAGCACACATCCCTGGGGGGCGCCAGTGCTGATAGTCCGGGTCAGGGGCGTTTCTAGGATTCAAGGAAAGTGGGGGCTTAGCCCCAAGGGGAGTGGCATGTTTGCGCGCACAGCACGCGGCAATTTTTTTTGGGGCCCATTTGGGGCCGTGGATATCCATTGGTTCAGACAGCTCATAGATTGGTTCAATCAGAAAGAGTGTGATTTTGCTCTGTAGTTTTGCTTGCATTCAGTATATGATAACACAAGAGACAGAATTTCAGGGTTATAGTGAAATTTGACAACACAAATATGAACTTTTCTCAAATAAAGAGAGAGAAATAATTTTCCTGCTTGTAAAGGAAAGACGGATAAACTAGCTTTCATATCCGCATCACTCCCAAATCCTAACTCTTAAAGGGACTGCACACAATGGATGGAGAACGGACCTGACAGTGTCAACTTTTGAGTTGTTTACTGTACTTGTTTTATTATGAGCAGGATTGTAATTTGAAGGGTGAGAAAACATACAAACCACAACGCGCACATATTTATCATGTTAGAGTTATAAATAACTTGTCCATGTGAGAAACAATAGTTTAATTTAATGACATCACAAAAATAAAAATTAAAAAAAAAGATTTTTTTTTTTTTTTAAAGCCAATAATGCCAAATTATTTGGGGGGCTGAAGAACATTTTAGGGGGGCTTCAGCCCCTCAACAGAGGGTCTGTTATCAGTGAGGGCTGACGGGTTCTTTAACGAGGTCCTGACACATAGAGAAGAGGTTTGTTGTATTTGTTGTATTTCGTACACTTCATCTCCGAGGGTTACTTGTAGTTGTTATTAACCGTTTCACATGTCGAGCGTTTCTTTCTTTCAGGTGACGGATGTTTTCAGCTCAGACGACAGTTTGAGGTAAAAACTTTTTCATGTTTTCTTCCTGAAAAATGATTGAAAAGACAAAAGTGTATAAAGTGAGATTGTTCTTCTAAGTTAAATCTGTGAAAGATTTATAAACATTTAGTAGTTAATGTTATAAAATAATTATAAAATAATGATGATGATTTACAGACACTTCTGTACAGAGCGTCTGATTGGTCGAGAGGTGTCATGTGACGTCATGTGATAGTTTATCACTAATTCTTTATTTTAAATCATTTTAAATTACTCTTCATGATTATAACTTATAACTCTTCTGTTGAATAACTTCAGTATGAACATATTTAATAACATTATTTCTCTCTTTCTCTCAGCCAATCTTCCTCCAGCATGTCACCAGCTCTCGGGTTGGTTTGGGCCAATCAGGTGATGGTTCGGCTAATGATGCGCCGTCTCCAGGCAGCGGTTACCCACGGCGACCAGAGCAGCGCCCTCCGCAGGCTGGAGGTGGTACTCGCTCCTCATTTAGCACAAGGTGGGCGGGACTTAGCTGTTTGGAGGGAGGGGGTCAGAGGGGTGATGAGCTCATAATGAGCTCAAGATAGGTTTCTATTTTAGTAAGTGATCAATGTAAATAAGTTTGCAAAGATTTGTTTTACTGTTGTCAATATTGAGTTCATAACTGCTTTTGTTATTTTCCAGTGGATGTTGTTTGTTTTTTGTTGTTTGTGTGTGTGTGTATGTATGTATGTATGTAT